TTTTCTTAGCATTTCAGCTACTGAGGCACTATATGAGAATCTCCACTTGCAGTACAAAACTTTTTGCTCAGCCCCCTTGGCTATTGAAAAAACAACATGCCACTGTGACATTATCAGAACTGCATATACAGAACTCATGAGGCAGATTAAATAAAAGACATTTGCAAAACAAAACTGAAAACGTGCTACATTTGCACTGAGAGCCATGATACTTCGAGGTGTCAGACTTGCTAATCATCTCACCACTGCAGTACTCACCTTCTCTACCAAACCACGTGCCCTCCTCCCCTTTACATGCCACAGTGGGAATTTGTTGGGGCTTATCTGACTTTTATGAAGTGAAACCGCTCATTGCAGGTTCCAACGAGATAAAACATGACCCTTGAAAAACATCAGGAATACAAAGGACTCCCCTATGTTTTGACTGAGACAACACCCCTGCCTTCATGAAAGCTCCATTCTCTATGGGACTGTAGTGACTCTCTAATGATCAATTAATGTTGAGCATATATCATCATATCAATTCTAAAAAATGAAAAAAATGAGGCACGAAGGGTAAAAATTACTTGCTCGGTTTAAAAGGTCCTATTCTCTTTCTCTACTGATCACCTCAGAGCTATGAATACATTATCACCGCATATCTATGTGCCTCATTTTCCAACCAGTTTGTTATGTTGCTTTTTCCCTTTGACTGTTTCCACCGCATCTCCTTTAAGTTCCCCTCTCATTCAATCCTCCTCCTCTTCTAACACACTCACTCTCCTCCTTGTTCCACACTCCCTTCAGATGCTCTACTGCTGCACTGCTACAGAAATATCTCTTCTGGAGATTTCTGCTGGAGACTGCGTGAAAGGATGGTGTCTTGGGAACCAGCACTCTTGCCTTTGACACACCACACAGCCATATGCAGCAGAGACATGCAGAGATCTCTACAGTACCTGAGCTACCAAAAAATGGTCTCCAATTTTTCTCAGCGGGATGCATTAGCCTGTATTTGAGCTCTGCACTGCTCGGAGTGCTTGAGAAACTCTGAACTAAGAGACAGCACACAGTGAAGAGACTCTTTCGAGGGAAGACTTCTAAGAGGGAGAGAGATGGTTCCTGAATAGGGAAGGGAGGTTGGAAAGGCAAAGAGAAAACTTAAGATTACTTGTTTTTAAGTTCCACTTCTAAGGTTAAAGCATCACAAATCCCACCTCCATGCCTCTACTATAGCTGACATTTTTACAAAGCAGTAACATTTAAAACAACGCCAAAATAAGAGTGGAGTTATATATACTGTATTTTGAAAGATGTGTTTCGGCATAATAAATAATAGATGGTTTTGCATTTTTAAAATGTCAAAATCAGTCCTTCTGATAAATAATACCTTCCCTCCCTGGCCTTGGCTATTGTACATTACTAATTAGAGATAGTAGTTTGTGGTTAACATCCTTCCCTACAGATTTATTATTAGCTTGTATATCCTCTTCAGTAGAATTGTGCTAATGGTAAGGTCTGCTGGAGGCCAACTGCATGAAGCCACTGGGAGGAGAAATCTGTTTGCCTGTCAAAACAGTGGCTATCAATTAGAACTGTAAATGTGATTCCTTTAAGTGTCTTGGATGGTAGCAGAGATTTCCAGTGATGAATTAGGGGGCTGAATCACTTTCTTATTGTACTAAAGGAAGCTTGCAGACAAACAGCTGTCCACATGAAACAAATTCACCACTAATTTTGAGCAAGTCCAGAAGAACCAGTCTGACCTGCCAAAATTCCCTTGCTATTTTCCCAGAAATCCTAGCTGTAGAGCATTTTATGTGGCATACTGACAAAACCAATACTAGATTATTCTGTGGTTTTCCTAGGAAAACTTGGCTTAGGATAGCTATAGCAACAGGAGAAAAAACAATGACGTTGCTGAAAGACACAATGCATCGAAAAAGAACCTGTGAGACGATGCAATTTCCCACCATTCACTGCTTCGGGATGCAGCCATGGCACAAGATAGCAATTTCCCCTTTGATACAAGCACCCAGCTCTCATTAGCATCAGTAAGAGTTGTGTGGATGTACTGATGGGAATATGTTCCCCTGTATTTTGCAGGAAATTAACACCGCTCACTTGGGGACTGAAGGAGGCACTGTCTGTCACTCTCAGGCAGCCTCTGCCAGTTAATTAAGTAGAAACCTCTGCCACAAATCTCAAGAGGAAGCTCTTCCCTGTTCTTGCTACAGCAAAACTGACATGAAGCAAAATGTCAGGAGCAGGAGCTGGGAAGTGGTGATGTTCAGGGAAGGTGAACTTCAGCCTGCCTTTGCCAAGATCTTCTGCCACTAGGTTTTTGTGGATTTAGAAAATAGTTATTTGAAATCAAATTGATTAGCTATAGCCGAGTTTAAGCTTTAAGAACGATTTAAGAAAGTATTTTCAACTCTCATACATTGTGGCTTTTGGTTACTGGTTCTTTAAGCAAGAGGTAATCCTAGATGGCATGTATAAAAATCAGTCAGCAAGACTGCTAACCCTTCAGGACTCCACTGATAATTTCATGCTAAGAGAGTGACTAACTAACACAGGAAAAAGCAAAGGACTCCACCATACTCACAAAATGTGGTTCTGGCAGCCAAAGGACAAGGGTTCAGGACAGGGAATGTGTCATCCAGTTGCTACACAATAGACTCTCTCATCAGGCTGGGAAACTAGACTGAACATATTAAAAACCTTTCCTCAGTGCCACTTTATAAATAAAGAACAAATATCAGAACTAAGTGACTGAAATTTTTAGTCAATTACATGAACTACACAGCGCTCTCATATCTGCTTTCAATAGTATTGCTCACGAACTATGCGCCAGAAACTTTATAAGGTTTCAGTGAAGACCTGGCAATCACTTCTGTTTCTTGAATCTTAAAAGCAGTAATTCTGGAGCAATCAGATAGAGAAATACATTTTACTGGATAAGGTCAGAGAAAATTGCTAGAATAGTGCTTAAAACCATGAAGTACTTTTATTTTGCTATTACAACAGCGTAGCTTGAAGTTGCACAAACAACATAAACAGCCCAGATTCCCCAAACTTTTTCCTCCTTGCATATTTCTTGCCTTCCCCGTACTGACTCCCTACCACAGATGTTTATACCCTATTTTTAGAAGAATTATTTCTTATTGGTTTTTATATTGCCAGGCTGTTAATTTTTGTGTGACAATGTACAGAATAATCTCTTTGCTTTCTTGTTCAGATCCAGCAACGCTTGTTCACCACACAAAGGCTTGACTTCTTTTCTCACTATCCCCACAGCTCCATGTCCTAAGGTTATATTCACTCATTCAACTATTTGCAATATTAAACCATTAGCACTAATTTTACCTAGTGACCAAAACGAGCACAGATACCCTATAAATTCCTCATGTTATCATCTGAGCATAAAAAAGTTAGTCTGAAAAAGAACTTAATTACGAGGATGATAAAACAAATGTTAAATTCAAAGCCCATTGCAGCACAGAAGACTGAAGAACACAGATGAAGTCTGTCACTCATTTCATTAAAACTTCTGCCACAGGAGCTCACAGGAGAAAACAGTATCACTGCATGAATAAAAACTAAATGGCGTTGATAAAAAACTATTCCAGAGTGTGTAGTCAGTTGATGAACTTAATTGTTTTTTGTTTCCAAACTACCTGATTCAACCACAATTTCTCCTGAATGTATTAGTTGCTAGCCATCTTCCATGAAATAATTTGTAGGGAAAAACTCTGGCTTACAGGTTGCCCATGAATTGAATGCAATCAGTATTCACCACAATGAACATTCTGCTTATTCATCATTAACTGCAACTGATCGCATGCATTGTTTTTGTCTCTTAACTTGATAACTCATTGTTTAAAAACTACCTTCACAAGCAGAGGGGAGGAAAAGCCACTCTGCACTTCTTGAAAAACATGTTTTGGCCACGGGCCCAAAAATTTACTGCATAAAAAAACCCCACAACTATATGAACACAAATTTCACCACATGAGTGCTCACAGTTGATGAATTACGTTTAGCTGAAAGTATTTCATCTGTAAAACAAACTAGAGACCTGACTGTGAAACAACTTAAGCATCTGCATTTCCATTTCTTTGCTGTATTGTTGGTCTTCTATCATGGGAAAGAGTGAAATGAGTGCCTAATTTATCAACTATATACCACTCATTATTTGATCTCTCTATACCACCATTTCTTTTGATTTATTAGATACAACATTTAGAACAGATTTTTTGTCACGACAATTGAGTTGTCTTTGTACTCTGATACTCTTGTTGTGCACCTAGACAACTGCACCAAAGATGTACAGAATTCTAGATGAAGCTTTATTATTGATTTATAGTGCCACAATGCTGTTATTCTGTCATGGTCTTATAACTAAAAAGCCCATCTGTCTAGCCTCAATTTTGTTTTTCTTCTCATGTGTGGAAAATGAAAGCTTTTTACCCCTTTCCCTCCAGTCATACAATTTTTCCTGCCATTTTCTGTCTCACTTGTACATCGCTGTTCACTTGTACCACTGTCTCTTTTCCAGCTGCTGCTGAATAGACAAGTATCACTACAAGTACAGTCCATCAATCCTTGGAAAAAAGAAGCAATGGGATATAGGAATGCAAAGCTGAAATCACGGTCAAATCCAAGGTCCTGAATTTCAATAACTAGAAAGCTGTACACCTGGAAAAAACATTCCCCCAAGTCAACTCTCAATTGCAGGAATTAATGACTACATCTTTTGCGCTGTTGGACTTACTTCCTCTAGCAATTAGCTGGCATATTCTCTAAATAAGCAGAGTAGTAAAAGCCAGTTAATGCCCCAGTGCTGCTATTGGAAATCTTTAACAAAAATCGCTAGTATTTAAGAGACTAGTTGAAATTTGGTTCCAAATAGGGAACTCTCATGTTATGCAGAGGACAGTGAGAATTTTGTCTTAACATAATGTGGCTGTACTGTTTGAAACTGAAATGAAAAGGGAAGGGTAAAGAAATGGAGATACCTAAAGGTTCTCATCTTGCTCAAGAAATATCCAGAAGGTAGACTGGAAGTCTGAGGAGCAAAATGCCTGGACAAGGGAAGAAAGTAAACAATAGATTTAACTGCACTAAGGTGCAAACCACTTGCTTTTTGTTGATTTGAATACAAAAGCACTCAGATGTTTTTACATTTTACATTAAAGCAAAAAAAGACAAGGAAAATACAAATCAGATGAGTAAACATTAAGATTCTGTTGTGGAGGAAGATCACCGGGGAAGAGAAAACACTAGTATCGAGATAGATGTCCAATATCACTAATGTCTGTGCATTAAATATCTTAACCTTCAAGTTAATTTTATTTCTCTTAACTACATTTTTGAAAAACACATTTAATGGACACCACATTCCAATTTGTCTTATCAGCACAACCACCTCAAACCAAATACACACAGAGGGCTGCACAACACCCCACGTGGGAAATTCCTTCTCCTCTTTGCAGTACTTACTCTCCTGAATTGGAGCATAGGAGGCAGAGCACAGGCTTTCCGTGTCCTTGTGGTTGCAATCACAGCACGTGCTAAGGAATGTTCATTTCCCTGAGGCAGGGCCAAAGAAGAAAGGTCTATTTCATTCTAGCCCATCTTTTTAATTCCCTCAGTAGATGCAGTGTTTACCATTTTACACAACAGCTGCTTGGAACAAATGCAAACACCGTGTTTGTCCTGTAGTTTTCACATTATCGCACCAGAGAAACTCCATGTGTCCTTTCAACAAAGGAAGATATTTCTCAGATGTGTTATTTTCCCAAATATCAAACACAGAGAGAAAACTGGTTGAAAATAATCTCAATGCAACTTTATCAAGACGTGGAACAGTTCCTCTAAAAGGAAAATTTTTAAGATAAATCAGCTAAGGCTTCTCTTATCATCATTAAATAGTAACTTAAGCACAGGATTAAATTTAGCCAGATCACTTATGCTACTAATGACCTAATTTTTTTAACTGATCTTTATCATATCCCTTGATGTTCCAGAAATAAAGCAATCTCTTAGACCCCTTCCCTTCTGAATCATAACCCTTTCCAAGAAACTGGTGTGTTCCTGCTTTTCTGAACCTTACACCTAACCTCAAATCAGGACCCAGAAATAACTCAGCAAACAAGATGAAGAATTGTAAGTCCTACTTAAATTCCTTTCATTACTAGCCTTTGCCATTAGCCTCTGGGTCCTTCGATAGCCAGCGAGAAGTTCCATTGTTTGAGCTCTCCTTTCAGATTCAAACCATAATCTATTACTAAAATTGTCTCACTTAAACCTTCACCATGTCTAAGCTAAGTCACTGCAACACATCCTTGTCCTTGCACAGCATCTGTAAAAGTCAACTGGCATAAAGTTGAGTTCATTTCCTCACCCCTGTTCTCACGTGTGCCCTTCAGGCTATTGGCAACGGTTTCAGGCTGAAGCACAGCTGTCCACTAGAATGCTTTTCACTTGATACCTGTCCCTCATGCTAAGACCAGCTGGGATCCACCACTTTGAGACTGACTGGGACATTTTCTTACTTGAGGACCAACATCTGTGAAACATACGAATTTGGGGAAACTGACAGGTCCAGAGTTCGGTGATGTTCAGGGAAGAATATTTTCTTCAATTTTTTTTTCTTGTATTTTTGTGTATGTGGTAGAAGATAGAAAGTGGGGAGAAGAGGGAGCTGATGCAGATTGAAATTACAGTCAAAAAGCGTATGATAATGGCAGTGAAGAGGTTCAAAGCTTTCTAAAATTTTGTAAGATGAACTACATCACAAGGTAAGTAAAACAGCACTAATCTTAAAAGTGCAAGCTGTCTCCTTATTTCATGGAAACTCATCAAACACTGAGACAGAAAAGAAGGATGAATTCTGTGGGACAGCTCAACATTAAATAAGGACTAGTCTGGCTTCTCATGAATACATCATCATGTAAACTGTGGGATGTCTCCACTCCAGCAACAGGCCGAAAATTTAATTCATGTCAATAAGTTAATGTATCAATTTCTACTACTCTCTAAAGCTCATTAAAGGCTCCAAAACTAGAAAAACTGATGCTTTCAACAGGCTTTTGCCACCAGTGTGAAACATGCCCCTCTTTCTAATCCTTTTAAATTTTGCTTATATAGGGTTATTTCCAAAGGCACAAAGTTTAGCCTCCCCAAAGCTGCAGAAGCTGTCAGTTCTCTCCTTGCTGCCCCGCATGCTTTTTAAGCTTTTGCACCAAAGCAAGAATTAATTTTCTCCTGAAACATCTTAGAAAAGCAATAAGAAAACAGTGGCACTTCTGAACTGGAATGGATAGGACCCTACAGCAACAGATTCTTCTGTACTTGGGAAGAAGCCTCATCAGCAAAGCAACAAAAGAGACAAGAATGGATGGTGGAAACTTCTTTAGCTGCCTGGATCCTCATGGTGCTGACTTCCTCCTGTTTCTGCTTGTCACCCTCTCCCAGAACAACTTAAAAACAAAAAAGAAAACTCAACACTGCTGCTGTGTACAACAAGGTCCATCAAGCCTCCTGGTTGCCTGAAGAATGTAACTGCCCATAGAGTTAGGAGAGAGACAAAGCCTAGAGCTCCAGTTGGAATGTGGCAGCAAAGGGGCTGCCAAGGAAGCAGTAGGCTGCAGAGTCTTTCCCTGAGAAGTTGTTTCTTCTGGACAAAGGCTGGAGGTCTTGGGCTAAATCTGGGTTTGAGGTAACGAGCTATACTAGCTACTATGAGATTAACAAGTTTTCAGCTATGCTGCCTGCATACTGATAAAAGGTTATTCCCCCCTTCCCCTTATCAACAAAAATAAATCAGTATTGGAACAAGCGGAACTAAAACCAGAATAAACAAGACTATTTTGATCTGATGTTAATTGTATAGTTGAGTTTGTTTCATGCAATAAGCAAATGGTGCATGCCAAAGTTGCAGTGAATATAATATAGTCTGAACTTTTTTGTTCCCACCTACTTTTACTTCAGGAAATCCTTAGAACTTCTCATCTCAACTCTTAAACCCCCCCCACACACATGCAAGACCATATCTTGTACATTAATACATTGAAAAAGGATGTTGCAAGGCTGCTGACCAGTTTTCTTTATCCACATCCCTCTCCCAGGCAGAATCTGTTCACAGTGAAAACACCATCACTCCACTTTTATTCAATGCCAGAAACGTACCTATACAAATCTGGAAGTCCATAATGCTCTGTTTGATAATAAAGCAGGACAGACAGACTTGACTATATTCCATAAATCTAGCCTAGCTATTATTTTTTTCCTCTCATTAGCTCATTGGCAGTGTAGATTTTTCAAGAGCTGCAGAGATTCAGCTGCAGTTGGATAAAGGGGATCATCACTAGCCACTGCTGGGGACCTCTGTCCCCAGAACATATTCCTTCCAGCTGCTTCAGATATCACTGCGCTTTGCCATGGTCACAGTTGAAAAAAAAACCCAACAAACCCACCCCAAACCATCCAGATCTTTCTCATCCTATAATCTTAGTATCTCCCCCTCTCAGCTCGGCAGCCAGTAACACTCTTGAGTTCCTCTTACTAATATTGAAGCTTGTGTTAACTACGTGACCTTCCCTTCAAAAGGATTCAAACGACCGCCTGCCTGACACATATCTCAAGCCATTCTGCACAGCTCCAGCCAACATATGGCTCAGCACTCCAAAAATCGGGGCTGGCACAGCAGCACTTGTACAAGCATAGGCAAGCACACAAGAGCAGGCAAGCACACCGTGTGGCTACAGCCAGCGACCAGCACTATCAGCTCCAACCAACAGCAGTGCACGCACAGGCACCTTAAACCAAGCAGTGCACATGCAGCCCAGCTGCAAATGTATCCTTTCTCAACTCCCTTCTGAATTAAAAACAAACCAACTAACCCAAAGCAGGCTCTGGGGAGAATACAACTCAAAGGTTCTCACATACAAGTGTCAGAAACAAACAAAATGGCTATCTTTCAAAACGCCACTATTACATCTTCGGTTGTCAGCCTTGCCTAGTACCAGGTACACAAGGAAGGATGGTAAAGACTGGTTTAGTAATTTAAAGTTACTCACTTCTGCCCATCTAATTAAGAGTCAGTTAGTGACTACCGACATTATCATCTTCCCTGACCCTCGCAGATGCAGAATGCAACGAGGCACCAGAAGCAGGAGCAATGGGAAGCAGGCCGTGCTGTTCTCCAGGGCTGGGAGCAGCTCGCTGGCTGGAAGTCCTGCAGGAAGCATCTCCCGACTTTCTGCAGTCAGGCTCCCACCACGGTGGCACAGGGCAGCTGGGAACCAGGTCCTCCATTGGGAGGAACTGGCACTGTTCTCAGGTATATAATATGTAAATGTTTGCCTACTTAGCTATAAACATATTTAAATATGCACATAATCATATCCATATGTAAATATCCCACATTTTGCAATGCATACTTATTTAAATATGTACAAAAATAAGAATCCTATGCAGGGAACTAACTTCCCTCTTTCTCTCATCAATGTGGGGGCCTGACCCAGTTCCTGAGAAACAAATGGGAATTTGTAACACGCCTTCACTGAGCATTAGATTAGGCCTTAGAAGTCCACCACGGCTCCCTCCTGTACGTGCACTATCAAAATTCTCTAACAGCTTAATATTTTCTGAGGCCACATATTACAATGATCAGTCTAGACAAGGGAATATCAGGACACAGAGGCCTTGTGAGAAGAGAGGTCTGGGAGCTTCAAGCTAGTCAGAGAGGAGAGATTTCCTCCTGTGCTCCTTTCAGCACGTACTTTTTCATCAGATAAATATAAATAAGTAGTACAGCAGTTGTTTAGTGAGCGGCTTAGGGACATATTGTTCCCACTGTCCTAATTTTCCTGACACAATTGGTAAATTTAGACATCTAATTAACAGTCTGTGCCATTTATCAGGTTACTTGTTGCTGGGTTTTTTTAAGGCTGTCAATGAAGCTTTCCATACCTTAGACATACTCTCCACCTCCAGAATGAGTCCTAAGCCTCTCACAGAATGATTATACCTCTAACACATCCCCATTCTGTTTATATGGGCTTTACACAGCCCCAGG